TATTAATTTTGTACTTAAAATATTCTAAAAGAAACATAACAATATTGTTTTATGTACTTTCACTTTTCACGTATAGTATAACTACTCTTTAAGATTAAGTACTGTGTATCTCAAAAACCAGAGCTAATAAAAATTTTTCATTGTTATTTTCGTTTTTATCACCCCAAAATTAGTAGAAATTGACTAATTTAGTGTAGGAAACTTTCAAAAAATATTTTTTTGTTGTGTTGTGTATTGGATGTGTTATTATTTTTAATCTCCCCAATTATCTTCTTAGGGGTAGTGATGAAAAAAACATTAAAAAGGCAGGATATTCTCTGAGGATCATTCACAACCTCACTTCCATGTATTAAGGAAATATTTTTCATAGTTGCAGAAGAGTGTGTTATACTATTTATCACCCGCCAAGCCATTTTTGTGGGATTATCGGAAGCCACTATTTTATTGTGATAATACAAGCGTTTTGTAACAGATATGAGTCTAGAATGTTTTTTTTTTGCCATTATAGTGAAAATCGTACAATAAACTGTATTGATTAGTTTTTCATATACTAAATCTCTGATCCAGTTGCTTTCCACTTATCTAGAAAAAAATATTCACAATATGACTCCAGAGGTCGGGATAGTCAATGGTGTTTTGACACTGTGAGAACAAGGTGAGATAGACTCCTACCAGTGCAGGAAAGTGATTAATTCTGTTGAATTGTACGATTAGTCCAAAGGCCAAGCTATTTCATCTTCAACTTTGAAGATATTATCTCTTTTTCGTAGTCTTAAGGTTAGCTCGTTGAGGGCACTGAAGATATCATTCAGCGATTACGAGACGTGCTGCTGGCATTCATTCAATAACTTAAATGTCCACAGATATCTGGCCTCACGCTCTTTCTTTTCGTAGCACAAATAACGATATCTTTACCTTATCAATCAACCAATCAAACATTTATTGAATCAGTTTTCCATCACAATCACATTAGACAAAAAAACATATCATCGTAAAATAATGGCTGATTCAACAGGTCAAACAAACTTAAGAAAGTCAATATGAAACATAAAACATACATACAAAAAAGTCAATAAGTTACAATCAAATTAGAATTCAAGGAGAAACTCATCCACAGAGTAGCTTTTTGCAATAGAAAAATCTTGAGTCGCCTTTTAAAGACATTGACATTTGAGGATTTAATGTCCTCACTAAGCTTATTATATAGTTTAACCCCACAGCAGCATGATACTGTCAATCTACTATAAGGTTGATGTAGTTGTGGCAGTTTGTTATAAAGTTTTAGCCCCAAGCAAGAAGGTGAGTTAGCGGTTATATCATATTTGACGGGATTTATGTAAAAATCATTGCACTTTCTTGTATTTACATTATGGTAAGATGAAATGCGATCATATTTCGACCTATTGGTGTGAATAAATACACACATTCTTTCAGAATTCATTCCATTCACACAAACCAGCTAACTACAATCAGTCAGGTAAGATCCAACCCAATTCAATGCAGAGCCACTTATACCACAAAACTGCAATTTGTGTAACAGTATGACATTGTCAACGAGGTCGAAAGCTTTGCTCAAATCAAAAAATAATTCTAGAGTCTGCTGTTTGTTTTTCAAGATTTCCAGCGCATGTTTAATGAGTTGATCAATTGCACCAACTGTAGATTTATTTCTTCTATAATTATTCTGACCAGAAGAAAATAATCTGAATTATTCAAAGTAATCATATATTTGATAGAAACCGTATTCAATATTCTTAGAAAACTGACTAACTAGTGATATAGGACTGTAAGATGCATAGTCAGATCAAGAGCCCTTATTTTTGTATATTGGCAAAACTTTTGACATTTTCAGTATATCAGGAAACCTCCCCTTAATGAAAGTGGAGTTGACTATATGAGTCAAAGGCTCAGAAATCACATTGGCAACCTTTTTAATAACATGACCAGGAATTTCAACAATACCGGACGATTTTTTCTTACAAACTTTTATGATAACCTGTTCAATTTCCATTATTTAAAATTATATCAGGTGACAATAATAGCAATGAAGTCTCATTCTGAGTACCTGTTCATTCAACTAGGAACAATGATCTTTTTACTGTCCCCAATCATCATACTAACTATAGATCCTTCTCACCCATGTCAAGGTTAATGTGAGAAGCCAACAGTCTTAATTGTGACATTAAACGAATTTCACTGAATACTTTTGAAAAACAATGTAACAACAAAATTCAATAGATAACCAGCTAGGATAATAATTTTAAATTGATATAATTCAAATTTTATATGTCTACAATTATACATACAATAAGGTTAAGTTAGGTTAAGAAACACTGTCCTAACCTAAAATATAAGATTCCTTACCTGTTATAGGCAGTAACATAAAGCTGATATCTAGTCCCACACAAAAGTTTTTCAATTGTATGTTTCTCAACGTTGGGTGCAACCTGAACAGTTTCCCAGTCTCCGAATTCAGGCTTGTAGTGGATGGTGTATCCATGGATTGGCTCCCCATCGGTATCATGTGGTTTTAATTTTATCGTCAAAGAGTTCGTTGTTGTCGAGGTGAGCTGTACTATGGGAGCATGAGGAGGAGCATTCACGATTAACTGGTGAGTTACAGAATCTTGACCGTAATCATTTTCTACCCTGCAAGAGTATTCGCCTGCATCAGTTCGAGTTATGTCACGAATGAATAGGGATCCGTCTGGGTGCTGTCTAATTCTGTCATTCGAATTGGGGATTAATTTGACTCCTTTTATTGACCAAGTTATGACTGGAGTTGGAACACCGACGGCCAAGCAAGGGAGGGTTACATCTTCTTTGTAGCTTGTTGTGAATGTATCGTCAAAAGATGCGGTTTTGGCGGGTACTGAAATAAAATACAGTTAGAATGTTACATTAAAGTTGAACTACTTTCATAAAATGTTTCCTCTCTGAAAATACTTACCACTTGTGCTCGGAGAAACTGTAACTTTCTTGGAAGGTTGTCCTTCTCCAATGGTTGTTGCAGCAGTAACCCAAAATTCATATTTGAGATTGCTATCGAGGTTTTTAGCTTGATAACTCAAATTTTGATTTTTCAAATTTGGTACTATTTTTTGAGATTTCGGCTTTTCATCACTGGTGACCTCTTTGTAATATACAATGTAATATTCAATGATACCGTTTGGTTCTGTTGGAGGTTTCCAACTCACCAAAATAGACTCAGCAGACATAACTAAAGCCTTGAGAGCTGTTGGAGATTCCGGAACTGAAAACGTTTTTGTAGACATAACGCAACATATTGTGATATAACCACTTACCATCTTGTTCAGTTTGACAATGAATTGGGGTTGTACGAACACCATCACCTCCTGAAGTATATGCCAAAACCTCCATGCTGTAATTGGTATATTTTTTCAGACCATGGAGGATAGTTTCACTGGAAGCAGTGATCTTCGTGTCCTTAGAATTTTCATCTACAAATCAAATAAACATCATATGGCATCTCTCAAGACATGAAACTGATGATTCATTATCAAAATATTCTACCAAAATCAAATCCACAGACCGATCTCAACAGTATTTCTTACTGGTTCAAGCAAATGCCATGTTGTGAGATCTTACAGATCCAAATCTCCGCTCATCTTTGATTATGCAATTAACAACATAAACCTATTACCAGTATGCAAAAGAAAATATCTTGGAGTTACTCAAGACACTGCCTCGTGATTTCATATTCACATCATTACAACCACTTACAAAAGTTTAAAAATCTTGGGTTTCATAAATAGAGGTTTACATCTGTCTATATCAATATATCCATATTGCCAACTTTGTATTATACAGTAATTATGCCACACCTTGATTACTGCACTGTAATTTGGAATCCCTGTACAATATACATATCAATAATATTGAACGAGTCCAGCATAAACTTTTTAATTATATCAACTTCAAGCTACACATATTTTCAAACTATCGCCAAAGAGAGCAGAAGCTGAAATCATCCCCACTTTCTGCCAGAAGAAAGCACAGTGACTTTCTATATTGTAAATACTTAGATTCACATGACAAAGAACTGCAGCCCTAGAAAGTTAAACCGCAACGTAGATGTGACTCAAATAATGCTCAGTGTGGCAGTTAAAGCTATAAAAAAATAAAGCAGTATTCAATTTCGATTAAATGTGACATATATGTACATTCCAGGTAAGTGTCCTGTCAATATCCATTGTAAGAACATTGGGATTTCCAAAAGTTTTCGGTAGATCACTAACATAGACAACGAAGAGGAGAGGGCCAAGGATCGATCCCTGGGGCACGCCTCTCGTGAGGCAACTAATTTGCTACTCAATGCACATCATTTGTTTTCTATTAGCCACGTATGATTCTATTAGCTACGTATGATTATATTAGTTGAAGATCAACGACGCGTATGCAATAAACTTCTGTAACAAAATTTCATGGGAGACACAGCCAAATGTAGAGGCTAAGATCGGTAAAAATTTCTAAAAATGTTTCATTTCTTTCAAAAGAGTGTTTTTATGGAATCAGTGGTTTTACAGCATCTTTGGTAGAAAATTTTCTTTGTAAAAGCAAAGTGCTGATCATTTATAACATTATGCTTATCTAGGTAGCTATCGATAACAATTTCAATAATTTTTGGAAAGAACTGGTAGAACTGATATTTGCCTGTAATTTACTAGAAGGTCCTTTTATTGCAAACTGGAAAATCCCTCTAGTTTCAAAAGAGTTGGAAATATACCATCAGTAATACATGAGTTTACTACGTCTACTATAACAGGTATGACTGAAGGTGAAAATGAAAAAGAATCGCCCATTCTGCGAAGACACGTCGTTGTCTATGGTCGTTTACCGTCAGTTCCTGGGTCAGTTGAATTTTGTCCGGATGCAGGCCCAAGTCACGACGCAAAATTCGCCAAGTTGTGGTCTGCGAAAGGACAAGTTCTTGTGAGCTATGCGAAATCGACTGCCTCGGATTCTCCTGCACACTCTCACAGAAAGCGGCGATTTCGACAGATCTTTCGTTTCGTCAATGTACGGGTGTTGGTTATTCGTTTACTGAACCAATTTAATGGTCCATTGCCCGAACAGAACACTCATTTGATGAAAATTTCATTATTTGCATGTGTTGTTGAATGGTGATATGGTGATTTGGCAAAACAGACTGAATAAATGACAACTAATTTGACAGATGTAGCTTCTACAAGATGGCCGTTATCAATTGTCAAAGTTCCTGCAGTGGAAAATCGATTGGACTCATTCCCTTATGAGCTACTCAGTGTTTTTATCTACCAATCGAATAAATATCACTGTTATTTTACTCAATCGCGCACAAACCCAAAACAAAATTTCGGAAGAGCATTTATAAAAACAAAAAATAAAAGGGGTCTCAAAACAGAGCTTTGAGGTATCCCTCTTGAATTGATTAATTGCACCAACTGTAGATTTATTTCTTCTATAAGCATTCTGACTAGAAGAAAATAATCTGAATGATTCAAAGTAATCATATAATATTTGATAGAAACAGTATTCAACAATCTTAGAAAACTGACTTTCACAAACCCAAATAAACAACAGTAATGTAAGCTTTTGAACAAAATTTCCAAAGAGCATTTATAAAAACAAAAATAAAAGGTGTCTCAAAACAGAGCTTTGAGGTAACCCTCTTGATACACATTTTCTTTCAGAATTCATTCCATTCACACAGACCAGTTAACTACGATCAGTCAGGTAAAATCCAACTCAATTCAATGCAGAGCCACTTATACTACAAAACTGCAATTTGTGTAACAGTATGACAGGTCAACGAGGTCAAAAGCTTTGCTCAAATCAAAAAATAATCCTAGAGTCTGCTGTTTGTTTTTCAAGATTTCCAGCACATGTTTAATGAATTGATTAATTGCACCAACTGTAGATTTATTTCTTCTATGAATGATTCAAAGTAATCATATAATATTTGATAGAAACAGTATTCAATAATCTTAGAAAACTGACTAACTAGCGATATAGGCCTGTAAGATGCATAGTCAGGTCGAGAGCCCTTATTTTTGTATATTGGCAAACCTTATGACATTTTCAGTATATCAGGAAACCTCCTCTCAATGAAAGTGGAGTTAACTATATGAGTCAAGGGCTCAGAAATCACATTGACAATCTTTTTAATAACATGACCAGGAATAAATGACAACTAATTTGACAGATGTAGCTTCAACAAGATGGCCGTTATCAATTGTCAAAGTTCCTGCAGTGGAAAATCGATTGGACTCATTTCCTTATGAGCTACTCAGTGTTTTTATCTACCAATCGAATAAATATCACTGTTATTTTACTCAATCGCGCACAAACCCAAATAAAAATTTTGTTAAATTTTTCAGTGTATTTGAAAAAAATATTATCTTTAATTTTTCAACACGAACTTTCTCGAAATATAAGAACGGTGGAAATGAGTTTCCAGATAAATCTCGAAGAATTAAACAACACATTTATATTTTCATTAAGAGAATACTTGAAAAATCTTACCAAACCAAGAATCAGAGGGTCCATATATAACTTTATATCCTTTGATGATACCATTGGCAGATGTAAGTGGTGGGGATACCCAAGAAACTCTGATAGTTTGAGCTGTTAGTGTTGTGCAAGTAGTTTTTTCGGGGGGTTGTTCGGGAACTCCTTCGGCAGTGTTGGCCTTGATATCTTCAGAAGTTGGACCAGCTCCAACTTTGTTGAACGCTTGCACGACCACTGAGTATTGAGTATATGTTTTGAGGTTAGAAATCTGAAGATGACATTCGGTTAAGCATTTTCCCCAATAAAATCAAGTTCCTACCTTTAAGTGGTGCTCTTTTCCCTCTTCTTCTCGTTGGAATTCGACAGTTTCGAACAAATAAGGTTTGTCGCTGTTAGCTAACCTGTAGCCAACATAGTAACCTTGAATGTCACCATTCCATTGGTCCCTGAGAGGAGGTTTCCAGTAAACTTTCAAGGAATGTTGGTCTTCTGCTTCAATTCTGATACTGGACGGAGGACCACTTGGAACTTCTTCGGCAGTGATAATCGTTACAGTTTCAGAAGGATCACTAGTTCCAATGTCGTTTTCGCCGATAATTCGAATATGGTATGTGGTAGCGGGGCGTAATGTGAAAATGCCCGCTTCTGTTTGATCTCCTGGTATCAAAACTCGTTCAGAATTCTTGTCCCAACTTCCTTTACTTGGCTTATACTCGATAACAAACCTAAAAAAAAAGCGTCACTACTTGCAAGTTTTGATTTTTTTGTTCTCTCACTTCTTGATAGGAGAATTTCCATCATAGGGAGATACCCAGGATAGCTGAACGGTTTTTCCAGATTTATCTAAGACTTTCAGACCGTACGGAACTTCAGGAACTTCTTGAACGATCATATTGATATTAGTATCATCACTTCCAAAAGCGTTAGTGGCAATACAAGTGAATATAGCTGAATCACTTCTTTCGGTCCTCTTGATGCTCAAGTCAGACAAAACACCGTTGGGCAAAATTTCCTCTCTTATGGTATATCTGTTATCACCTTTGGGTTCCAGTCGTTTGTTGTTAATGTTCCACAAAATACCAATTGGTTTTTCTCCTTTGGCTTCACACTGCAGCACTGCAGGGTCACCTCTTCTTGAGGTTTGGTTACGGTACTTCACGTCAAATTGAGGGGGAGCTGTAAAGTGAGCAAAATAAGATAGGATAAATAGAATGCAGAAATACATACCCTGAACACTGATCAAGATGACGGCCGAGAGACCGGACCCAATACCATTTACAGCTTCACATAAATAATACCCTTCATTGGTTTTCTGTATATTATTAATTGTTAGTGTACCATCCTCAACTTTGATATCTGGATTATTGGGTTTGAAATCTTTATAATCGCCCGGTGAAACCCCTAATAAAACAAATCATTACACTAGCAATTTTCTAAATTTAGTATATAAACATACCAGTCGCCCTTTTCCATGTAACAACGGGTTTGGGGAATCCATCGGCTTTACATTCAACAATAGCATCGGAACCCTGAGCAAATGCTTTGTCGGTAGGTTCTAAAATCCACCTTGGAGGAACTAAAAATGATTTGAAACTAAGATATTTTGGTCTGGTGACTAAATTTTTATTATGAGACAATTTTGAAAAAAATATAGTAGAAGATGGTATGAAAAATTTGCATATTTATGAACTTTTATGGAAAAGCACCGAAATACTGATGCACATTCAATTGAAAATATTTTATATTAATTCATCTTTTTGATACCAAATTCTACTTCGAACATAATATGGTGAAATATTTTGTATAAATATAAATGTGTGTGTATAATGTGTATTTATATATTTGAGCTTCATTTTTGATTGAGAGGCCTCCTCAACGATATACAATATACAAACTACTTCACCATACAATTTAGTTTGAAAACCGAAAATAAAAGTTAGTGACAACGTAAAAGAAAGCATGCAATAGTTAAAAGAAAGAGACAGATGAAAAAAACGAGTGCTGGGAATTGGATAAAAGGATGACCCTAAAATCCCAGCATAACGGGTAGGATAAGTGAGGACAGATAGGTTAGTGCTGGGATTTTCCACCATTTTCATTCATGTTAAAATACAGTGCAGAACTGAAAGTTTCTCGTGAAATTAGATACAGCAAATGATCGAGCATCTCTTAAACGTAACATCCGTAGAAAAATGAATTGATGGAAATACCATAAATATTCAACGTTGCCGTGGAGAAAACAGATCCAGCCTTATTGATGGCAGTACAAGTGTAATTTCCTGCTTGAGCCTCTGATACAGAATCAATAAGCAACAAACTGGCCTTCTGACCGATTTTTGTGATGCTAACACCACTTTCAGATTCTATGTGGATTCCTTTAAAACTCCAAGAAATGTTCAATGGAGTATCTCCTTCTGACACCAAGCACGTTACTTGAGTTGTTTGTCCAGAATTAACTGCAGAATCACCGAAACTGAACGGAACTATATGAGGCAATACTGGAAAAAATGAATTAAGTCCGATAGAATATATATTTAAAAAAAGATGACTTTCGCTGAACGACAATTTTAGACGAAGTCAATGTTTGAAATAGTTGTAATATCAATCGTTTTCGAAATAATAGCCAAAATCAGTTGAAAAATGAACACGAACTCCAAGGAATAAAGGTACGGTATTGGATGGAAATTATTTTTTTACTACTACATAAAACATGTAGAAATTCTAACCATTAACGAGCAGTTCTGTGGTATACATCGATTCCCCCGCTGAGTTATTAACGTGGCAGCTGTAATTTCCCGCATTGGAGTATGAAACTGATTCAATGGTGAGCATAGAAGATCTTTTTCCTGCTTTAGAAACAGATATTTCGGGGAAATTATCGATGCTTTCTCCATTCAACTTCCATGTGATAAACAAAGGTAAATCACCAGCAGAGACTAAACAGTTCACTTGAGCATATTCACTTGAATGAAGAGGATTCCCCTCGAAATAAAATGGGGTAATTCTGGGTGCCACTGAATAAAGAAAATCGAATTACAAGCTAATACAAAATAGAACGGTAGATACCCTTTACAACCAAACGAGCAGTGAAACTAGAAGATCCTGCCCTATTAGTCACTGAACAAGTGTAATTTCCTGCGTGAAATTCATCAACAGAATCAATGCTTATTACTGATGTTTTTTTTCCAAAAGTTCCAATATTAACACCAACCACATCCTCTAGAGGTCTTCCATTGAGCTTCCAAGTGAAGTTAACAGGCATGTCGCCCACTGAAAGGCTACACTGTACGGTATTGGATTCTCCCATATACGACGGCTCAGCTCCAAAATCAAATGGCAGAATTTTTGGCATTACTATGACAAACACAAAAATTAAAAAACTAGGTGAACATAGAAACATTCATCTAAAACTAGTACACCTTTAGGTACCGTTAACGTGCAATGAAGCTGAATGTTTCGATACCCCAGCTTGGTTTTTAGCTGCACACGTATATGACCCACTATGTAAGTCTTGAACAGAATCAATAGTCAACTGGGTAATCCGTTTATTCGTACGACTGATGGAGACCCCCTGTAGATTATCAATAGGTCTACCATTGAATGTCCATTTTATTCCTATGGGAACATCTCCTTTGTTCACGGTACAAAAAACTGTCACCATATCTCCAGAATTTATAGGGTCATTGCCGAAATCAAAGGGTGTTATTTGCGGAGAAACTGCAAGGTACAAAATATCATTAAGCCAGAACGAATGGATGATGGATGGGGAAAAATAAAAATGCTAAAATGATAAAAATGAATAACCATTCACTTGTAGTTCTGTTGAGAAAAACGTTTCACTTGCTTTGTTTTTCGCTCGACAGGAGTAATTTCCAGCATGAGTGTAAGATATCGAGTCGATAGACAAAATCGAACTACGTTTGCCAACTGTGATAGTGGATATATCTGAAAAATATTTAACTGGTTTTTCGTTCAAAAACCAGGACAAGGTCACAGGTAAGTCCCCCTCCGAAACGAAACACTGAACTTGCACAGATTGGCCAGAGTGTGCTGGATAATCGCCAAAGTCAAAGGGTGCGATTTGTGGAGGAACTGAAAAGGAAAAAGAAATGGTGCCTATCATAAAGGTAATAATACTAAAAATCTTTGCAAAGAATAACCGTTAACTAGTAGTTCTGAAGTGAATGTTGCCGTGCTAGCCTTGTTTCTCGCCCTGCAGGTATAATTTCCTGCATGAGAGTAGGATACAGAATCTATTGAGAGAAATGAAGTTCGCTTTCCAACCATAGACAAAGATATGTCTGAAAAATCTTCCAAAGGGACGCCATTCAACAACCAATCGATACTAATAGGCATATCACCTTCAAAAGCAGTGCAAGCAACTTGCACAAACTGCCCGGAATGAACAGCAATATTTCCGAAATCGAATGGGGTTATTTGTGGTGGGACTGAAAGTAAAAAAAAGTAATATAGAAATGTTAATAACCATTCACGTGTAATTCCGTTGAGTATTCAACAGTTCCACCTCTATTGTTTGCAACACAAGTATAATTTCCAGAGTGGCCATGTTGAACAGATTCAATGGAAAGAATGGAACCCCGCTTTCCTGCTGGGGAAACCCCTATTTCTGGATAACTCTCCAGAGTTTTCCCATTCAGTAACCACTCGATTCGTATAGGAAGATCCCCATCTCGAACAGTACAATAAACCTGGATGAATTCCCCTGAATAAACTGGATCAGCTCCAAAATCGAAGGGGATAATCTGGGGAGGTACTGAAAGGATAACTCATTTGTGAAATTTGAAGCAAGTGAAAGCAGAAAGCTTGGAAAATTTCAAATAACCATTCACGAGTAATTCGGACGAAAACTGCGCAATTCCTGCTCTATTCTCAGCTTCACAGGTGTAACGTCCAGCATGACTATATGAAACAGAGTCTATCGCTAATATCGAGATACGTTTTCCAACAGCAGTAGTTGTTATATCTGGAAAACTTTCCAAAGGCTGATCATTGAGTCGCCATTTTATCATCATAGGTAGATCTCCTTCAGTTACAGTACAAGTAGTCTGTACTAATTGTCCTGCATGTACTGTGGTTTCTCCAAAATCAAAAGGAACGATTTGGGGAGGAACTGAAAGGAAAATATACTAAATGAGAAAGCACTGAAGCACGAAAGCAGTGAAAAATGAATGAAGCCAATAAATATAACCATTAACTTGAAGTTCGGCGGTGAACGCGGTTTCGCCTGCTTTGTTCTTTGCTTTGCAAGTATAAGGACCAGCATGTCTATATGAAACTGACTCTATTTCCAATGAAGACGTGCGCCTGCCAACGGGAGTAACAGAGACGTCCGTTAGATCTGTTAAGTGTGTTCCATTGAGCTGCCATTCAAGAGTTATCGGTAAGTCACCCTCAGTAACGGAACATGAAACTTGAACATATTGGCCAGAATGTACAGGGTTGTCTTCAAAATAGAATGGAGTGATCCTAGGTAAAACTGCGAAAAAACAAATGGTTGGCAAAACAATTTCGTCAGCAAACCAGCAGTATCCAGAAGTAGTTTTTGAGAACATCAAGTGTTACTAACAAAGAGAACAAGTGGATTTTCGAATCTCAGAAGCTTTCTCCAATAAGATTGGTGACAAATCAACAGTTTCTTCGTTTCGATTCCAGCACGAAATGTTTTTAGAGTAAAGAACGTTGTTAAAATACAATGTGGAACAAATAATATAGGGAGAGGAAAATTAAAAAAAAAGGATTCATAAGTAAGTAATACCCTTCACGATTAGTTCCGCCGTATAACTAGCAATTCCAGCATAATTTGCTGCCAAGCAAGTATAGTTTCCAGAATGTGTTTCGGAAACTGAATCTATATTCAATACAGAAACTTTCGTGCCAAATCTCCCTACATTGTAACCATCCATTTCATCAATCGGCTTTCCGTTGACCATCCAAGAAAACTTCAATGGCAAATCACCGGCAGTTATACTACATTGGACCGTTACTGTCTCTCCCAGAAACAACGGTTCCTCTCCGAAGGAAAATGGCTGAAGGCGAGGTACAACTAAGAAGACAAAATATACAACATGATTTACTGAATATTGGGTGAACATCTACAGAGTAATCCTAATGATATGAAGAAAATGAAATTCATACATCGAGTGCCAACTTTGGCATGAAATACAATCGGAATCAGGTAACAATTAGGAATATTCTTTGGTAACACTCCATGATAAGTTTCAAATCTTTTATGGAAGAGGAGATGGCTAGTGACACCTTTTTTAGCTCGAGTAGATACTTTACTGCATATTTTAAAGGTACATTAGTTCTTGGATTTACTTCCATGCAAAGATATATACTTTCACGCAAATATATAATTTTTAATGAAATCTCAACTGATCGACAAAAATCTAAGAACAGGGGCAATAAAACAAATAATTGCCAAACCTTGAAAAATACATAAACCTGATCCAAATATTCTTAGGGGTTTGATGGAGAAAAATGAAAAATACCAGGAACTAGGAAGGACATGAAATGGAATAACCATAATGAAAACACCATGCACAAATTATCTATACCCTTCACAACCAGTTCAGCAGCAAAAGTAGAAATTCCAGCTCTATTCGAAACCACACAAGTGTAGTTTCCTACATGACTTCCATCTACAGATTCGATGCTCAAAAGAGAAGTTTTTGATCCAAAGGGAGAAACATTTACCGCTTTATGCCTTGGTATTGGTTTTCCATTGAGCATCCAAGAAAAAGAAACCGGCATATCACCTTTGTTTACGTAACAGGAAATTTGAACACTGTCGCCGGCATTTGCTTCTTCTTCAAAGGAAAAGGGATTGATGTGAGGCAGAACTGGGAAAAACAAATGTCTTAATGAGAAAAAAATGAAACGGGTATGTGCATACAGTTCTACTAAGGAGAAAGCATCTTTCGAAATGTACCGTTGACAAAAAGTTCAGCAGCTTGTGTAGCTTCGCCACCTTTGTTTGAGGCTCTACAGGTATATACTCCCGCATGATCTGCACGCACAGAATTTATGGTGAGAAGGTTTGTTTTCGTCCCAATTGATATTGTGTTGATCCCAAATGTGGTACTGATTTCTTTTCCATTGAGAAACCAAGATATATTCAAAGGGATGTCACCCTTACTCACGTAACAGTTCAACTGCAAGCTGTCGCCTGTGTTTGCCTCACCCTCAAATTCGAATGGAGTTATATGTGGCACAACTGCAGAACATATGTTAGATTAAAAAAAACAATGGACGCGAACATTCAAGTCAGAGTGGATAATGGAGGGTGTAGTTTTAGGTCAGAGCAGACGCAGAATAACTGAAGGTGATTTTACAGAATATATTTCAGTAGATATAAAATATATGAAACTGGGAACTACAGGAAGTAATACCATTCACTTGTAGATAAGCAGAACTTTCAACTTGTCCCGCAGTATTCTTGGCGATACATTTGTACTTCCCAGATCTATCAGCCGTCACAGAATCTATACTCAGTGTGCTGAGTCTTTTGTTCACCAAATTAATGGCGATGCCATGAATATTCTCAATGTTTTTGCCATTGAACTGCCACGAAATTTCCATCGGTAGGTCACCTTTGTTGACAGAACAAGTCAAAGAAACTATGTCACCATAATTTATAGAGTCTTCGCCGAAATCGAAAGGAGAGATTTGGGGTAAAACTGAAAATGAAAACTATTTATCGACCCTACAAAACAGATCACTAAAAATAGATTTTCTGGAAAATATACCGTTAACTCGTAAATTCGTGGAGTGCAGTGATTGTCCAGCTTTGTTTCTAGCCATACAAGTATATTCACCGGCATGATAATCTTGAACAGACTCTATGCTCAAAGTGCTCATTTTTTTTGTAACCTTTGTAACCGAAATCATCTCATCGCTACCGCTTATTGTTTCGTTGTTATGTAACCACATAAAATCAATTGGTAGATCTCCTTTGACCACGGAACACATCAGAGAAATTGATTCTCCCGTATTCAAAGCGTCTTCTCCTGAGTCTAGAGGAACTAGTAACGGAGGTACTGAAAGAAAAATGGCGACAATGGAATGAGAGGTCAAGGAAGGTTACTCAAGTAGGGTCGAATAACAAATTTAAACATTCAATCTTCATTCACCATTCACGTGTAAAATGGCGGAATACGACGATTTCCCTGCAACATTCTGTGCTGTGCAAGTGTAAGTTCCACTATGTTCCTCTTGAACCGAATCTATACTTATGGTGCTTATTTTCTTGCCAGCGTTTGTTACCATAATTCCTTGGTCATAACTGACACTATTATTGTTATGGCTCCAAATTATACTGATTGGCAAGTCACCTTTATGAACCGTACAGGTAAGCGAAGCAACATCACCAGAGTTGACAGACTCTTCTCCAAAATCAAAATGGAGGATTTGTGGTGCCACTGTAAGAATAATTAGGAATAACAGGTTCAGTAGGGGAGATTTTATAGAGGATTTCAAAAAATTAATGACTGAAAAATGATAATTGAGAATTGTTCAATACCATTGACGTTTAGTAAAGTAGAAGCACTGCTCGAGCCGGCTTTGTTTTGAGCAAAGCATGTATAACTTCCAAAATGAGACTCATTGACATCGTCGATTGTGAGCGAGCTGACTTTTTTACTAGGTTGTGAAACGACTATGCCCTCAGCATGTCCAATACTTTGACCGTTATGAAACCAAGTAATATTTATGGGCAAATCTCCTTTATAGACAGTGCACTGCAACGAGGCCACATCTCCCGAGTTGACTGACTCTTCTCCAAAATTCAACGGTAAAATTTGCGGGATGACTGGAATGGAAAATTTATTGCCATGCATCAAGGGACTAATGAAATAGGTCATGCACTAGTGTAGGTACCATTGACGCTTAGTTTGGCTGAATATGTAGCTACCCCCGCCTGATTGGTGGCCAAGCAAGTATAGACTCCAGAATGTCTCTCTTCTACGGAGTCAATAGTGAGCGAACTAGCTTTTTTTCCAACTTTTGTGACCAAGAAATCACCAGCATAACCTAGACTCTTATTGTTATGTAACCAAGATATTTCAAGGGGCAAATCTCCTTTATGCACAGAACACTGAATTGAAACATAATCGCCTGAATTGATAGGCTCCTCACCAAAGTCGAAAGGTGTGATTACAGGAAGGACTGAAATGGAAAAAACAAGAAAACTACAGAATTACATGTAAAATAAGCGGGGGGCAGAAACCATTGATGTTCAGTGTAGTAGAATATCGAACAGATCCTGCTTTGTTTTGCACCAAACAAGTATACACTCCAGAATGATTTTCCATTGCCGACTCGATTGTAAGGCTGCTGACTTTCTTTCCATTCTGTAGAATCAATATCCCGCTGTTATAACCGATACTTTTGTTGTTGTGCAACCACGTGATGTTCAGTGGGAAATCTCCTTTAAAAACAGTACACTGAAGAGACGCTACTTCCCCAGAATTCACGGACTCTTCTCCAAAATCGAAAGGTAAAATTTGTGGTGGAACTGGAAAGTCAAAAAGGTGCTAGAAATTATACAACAAATAAACTAATAAAAACTCTTTCCAGTACCGTTGATATGCAAATGAGTTGAATACCGGGCGATTCCTGCTCTATTTTCAGCGACACACGTATACTCTCCAACGTGCGATTCTTGAGCAGAGTCGATAGTAATTGCGCTAACTTTCTTGCCGACCCTGTTCACTATGATGCCATCAATATATCCTATACTGATATTGTTGTGTAACCAAGAAATATTTATTGGCAGATCTCCCTTATGCACTGAACACGTTAGCGAGGCAAAATCACCTGAATTTATTTGATCTTTTCCGAAATCGAAATGGAGGATGTCAGGAGGAACTGGAATCAATTTTGAACAATTAAATGAGGAATTAGAAGGGATGTGTCAAAAAAGAAAAATAATGGTCGCGGGTTCTAGTTACCAATGACTTGTAACTCTGCTGAATAACTGTCGTATCCGGCAACATTCTGAACTAAACAAGTGTACAATCCACTGTGTCTGTCCTCCACAGCATCGATACTCAACGAACTGATTTTCCTTCCATTTGTGAATATATTCACGCCACTGTCTAGGTCAATTGT